AGTTTACACCCTATTTATAAAACTTTTTAGAACCTTATATGTAAAGTCTTTCCTACAGTTACACTTTACCTAACCTTCCAACTTTGTTTTCTACCAACGTTTTTTTTTGTTCCCACCTATCAGTTAATTAGGGTTTTAATACAGGACAATAATATTTACAAAATTAACTTCTACCAAGATTTTGTTTTGCCTACCCACCAGTTTATTAGGATTGAATAAATATGCTTCAAATTTCAAGTATTCATATCTGGAAAAATTTGGGATTTATTTATTATATGACTAATTTTTTAATCATATTTTTGCTACTTATCTTATGTGCCATATATATTCTTGTGAAAAAAAAAATCTTCTATAAAAAAAATTTATGATATAATTGTCTGATCTGTAAAATTTCCCCGAATACTGTATTTATCAAGCAATTTTAGTGAAAATACTAAGGCTTTAATTACAAAAGAGGCCTTGCAGCGGTTTTTTAGACTTCAGTTATACTTTCTACCTACCCATCGAACTACTTGTATGTTTAGTTCCTACCTACGTTAGTACCCAGATTTTGTTTTGTTCCTACCTAACAGTTAATTAAAGTTTTAAAACATGATACTTATGCTTAAAAAATTAATGCTCTATTATTATTAATATATAATAAAATATGCGTCTAGAAAAATTTGAAATTTAATTATTTTATGGCAAATTAAAAAAAAAAAAAACTATTTTTTCTCCTTATTCTTCTTCTTCTTCTTGATTGGCATAGTCACCGCTTACGCGATTATAGCCGAGTTAACAACAGCATATCATTTCTTCTTTTCGCTACGTGGCGCCAATTAGATACTCCAAGTGAAGCCAGATCCTTCTCCACTTGGTCCTTCCAACGGAGTGGAGGTCTTCCTCTTCCTATGCTTCCCCCGGCGGGTATTGCGTCGAATACTTTCAGAGCTGGAGTGTTTTCGTCGATTAGGACAACATGACCTAGCCAGCGTAGCCGCTGTCTTTTAATTTGCTGAACTATGTCAATGTCGTCGTATATCTCGTACAGCTCATCGTTCCATCGAATGCGATATTCGCCGTGGCGCAAAGGACCATAAATCTTTCGCAGAACTTTTCTCTAGTAGGACGGGAATTATGAGTGACTTATAGAGTTTGGTTTTTGTTTGTCGAGAGAGGACTTTGCTTCTCAATTGCCTACTCAGTCCGAAGAAGCACCTGTTGGTAAGAGTTATCCTGCGTTGGATTTCTAGGCTGACATTGTTGGTGTTGTTTACGAAATTATCTACGACTTCAAAGTTATGACTGTCAACAGTGACGTGAGTGCTAAGTCGCGAGTGCGACGACCCTTTGTTTGATGACAGGAGATATTTCGTCTTGCCTTCGTTCACTGCCAGACCCATTTGTGTTGCTTCCTTGTCCAGTCTGGAGGAAGCGGAACTAACGGCGGGGTGTTGAGGTCAATGATATCAATATTATCGGCATACGCCAGCAGCTGTACACTCTTATAGAATATGGTACCTTCTCTATTTAGTTCTGCAGCTCGAACTATTTTCTCAAGAAACAGGTTGAAAAAGTCGCACTATAAGGAATCGCCTTGTCTGAAACCTCGTTTGGTATCGAACGGCTCGGAGAGGTTCTTCCCGATTCTGACGGAGCTTTTCCTTATTCTTATGTGATAATAATAACTATTTGTTTAGAATATATTATTTGTATATTGGATAATTCTGATTACAATATGGAAAAAATAATGTAGAATATTAATTAGGTAATCACCTACAAACTATATTACATTGCGGATAAAATTGATTTGCTACTATTTAATGAAGAAAGTAATTTATGTTAAATTTTGTAATGATATTTAGCCAAAGTTGCCCATATATGAACTTGATTTAGATTTTTCTGTTTTTTTTTGTTATCTGACCTACAAAATTTCTTCAACTATTGTACTGTATCTTAAAATTTTTTTCGGGTATTATATAATTACCGTAAGCAGCAATCCATGTCAAATTTCGTAAAGATACCACGTCAAGTGCGAAAATTTTCCGTAGAAGAACTTGGTTCCGATCATTCAGTTTGTATGCCAACTATATGCTATAGTTAACCGATCTGAACAATTTTTTCCGATATTACATTATTTCTAACAACAATAATTCATGTAAAATTTCATGAAGATACCACGTCAAATGCGAAAGTTAGCCATGCATCGCTCAGTTTGTATGGTAGCTATATACTATAGTTAACCGATCTGAACAATTTCTTCGGAGATTACATTGTTGCCCTAGAAAATAATCTATACCAAATTTGGTGACGATACATAGTCAAATGTGAAAGTTTTCCATATAAGAACTTGATTCCGATCGTTAAGTTTACATGGCAGCTTCTTTAAGGAAAAAGGACTTCAAAAGGAAGAAAATGATTTCAAAAGGATAACTTAAAAACTGAGGGACTAGTTCGTATATATACAGACGGACGGACGGACAGACAGACATGGGTAAATCGACTCAGCTCAATAAACTAATCATTTATATATATACTTTATAGGGTCTCCGACGCTTCCTTCTGGGTGTTACAAACATCGTGACAAACTTAATATACCCTGTTCAGAGTATAAAAAGAATTTTAAATATTTAAAACAAAATATGATACTACAAGAAGTACATCGTGAATTACTAGATCTAAAAACCGGTATTAATTTGGCAAAAAATAAAACCTTTGACTCGGCAGCAATAAATGTTGAATAAATTCAACACATAATAATAATAATAATAAACAATGAACAAAGAGATATTCCAGTCAGAGATTTATTGGAGTATTCAGTTATATTTATTGGCAGAATTTTCGACACATTAATAATATATAAATATTCTGTCATTATTAAAAAATGTAAAACGTTTAATGTAACAACAGTCAAATATAATCATGGAAAATTAATATTAGACCCATTAATAGCTAGTTGTAAAAATTAATGTATATCAATAAAAAAATGTAAAAATAATATGAATAAATATATTTGTAAACAAATAAAACCTAATAATTCTACAATACCTATGAAGCAATCTAATCAAAGAAAATGCCATACCCCTAGCAGGGATGAAGGGATGTCCAACTTATTCCAGTGTGAGAGCGCCTCAAAATTAGCGTTTTTTATAGCATAAACACCCTAAATTTAGTATGATTAAAAGTAATTATATAGAGGTCGTTTAATATATGAAGAAACTATTTAAATCTTGTTATTGGTTGTTGAAACAACTAACTTTTGACCTTTCAATACCCAATAAAAGGTTTTAAGCTTGTTACCATTCCATTACAAAACGTTTCATCAAATACATTTAAATTTCACAAATGTATTTAATTTTCATTGTTTTAAATTCTTTATAAGTGATCTTGAACTATGCAACTAATCCCTTCGTTTCCATATTTTTTTGTAAGATTTCAATCTGGCCATCCCTCAATTCCACTTGCTAAACGTCAAGATCTCCTGAACTCGATCAGCTGTCAAAGTTCAGGAGGTTTTGACGTTTAGCAATTGCTTTCTCACTTCCAATGAGAGATGAGTTGGACATCTCTTTATATCAGTGTAGAAGGAATTCGATTCCAATTCTCACACCACTTGTGGGGGTTATGTTTAAATTATCACAAAAAATACATTTTAGTTGGTTTTAGGTAATTTATTAATTTTACAAAATGCTGGTTATCCCATTGTACTGTCGTTTTTTCCGTCGGCTGAAGTGCGTGTCTCCCTGTCGGCTGATTGATTTGAAGTTCGTCTGCTGATTGTTTTAAGTTCTCCTTTTTAACGTACGCTGTCACTTCAATATTCCCGGTATCTTCAAGTCGTTTGTTTATTCAGGGTTAACGTCAAGGTTGCTATATATGATCACGAATGCGTTATCGCACTTCCTTTTTCTATAAATTCATACATAGTAAGAACCGAAAAAATCCCTTTTAGGGCCTCACAAAACGACGCGTATCTCAAATACTAATGAATATTTTGACGTGAAATTTAGCATAGATGTAATTAACAGTACTATTAATTTACAGAAAAAATATTTACCGATTCGAAAAACACCCGAAGTAGAAATTAAAAATCCACCTTTCAGTTTGAAAATAGTATGGATACGTTGCCATATTATGGGAAATAATATGAAGGTTTTTGAAGACGTACTCAAAAGGAAAATTTTTAAGTAAATTTTTGAATTAAGCACACAATTTTGTGGTACATAAGCGATTGTTGCTTTAAAGAATAATTCTCATTTATGTTATAATAAGGCGTGAGATGCAATAAGACACCAGTCATGTAAAAGGTATTTGACACTAAAGCGGTGTTTTACTTAACCGGAATTGACTTTATTTTACTCTATGATAATTGCTATCTTTAACAAAATAAAATTAAACTCACCGTATAAATTTAATGTATAGTATTCAAATTTGCCAATAAAATTATTGATTATCAAATGGCGCATTAGCAGTTGTATACCACCGTCCATAATAAATACTGGTTCCCTGTCTTTGACATTAATTTCAGCTTTGAACTTTTGAGAATCTGCATTAATTTTTGTTTCACGAATAACTAACAAAATATTTTCATTGATTCGGGCTTCCATATTTTTCTCCTATTTGAAATATAAACATTGTAGTATACCTTTTGTGACATGTCGTTTTTTGTAATTTATCTTCATTTTGTAAGTATATGAAATATAAATGATTAACAATATGTCTCATAGAGAAGGTTCAGCACCAGCTTTTGAAGTTGATAGAATTTACCAAGCGTAATTGTCTTTCAAGTCTAAGCGAAATATGCGATGGTGAACCTTCTCTTTGTAATTAATCTTGCCGATAATAATCAAAGAAAAAAAAAGAAATTTTGTACATACAATTCGGCCCTTGTCTATGTAATCGAATTCACTTCGTTTCTCCACGATTAATAAAAATTTGTCACTATATTTTCCCCTCAAGCAATGCCCACACACGCTTCTGCTTCTACCCTTCGCCATTTGACTGCGACTGAATACCACATAACCATCATAGCTTTCCTCTATGCTAAGTTTCATGTAACCAATGTCACTGAGTTCACTTTCTAGAAAGATTTTGTTTTCCTCATTTAGTTTGCAAGGTCCTGTTTGAATCTGTGATATATAGAGTTTTTCTTCGAAGAGTAAAGACTGCTTTTCATTATGCATTTCTTTAGCCGTAACGTCCCATTGACATTTTCTGTACTGTTCTTCAGAGGGTTCGATATTTGAGAGCAACGCAGAAATGATGCTGTCTATACTTATTTCATCTTCCGGGCGCATAAGAAACTTTTTCTGACAAGGTTTAAATTCCCATGCATCCTCTGGGCGCCGTTCAGGAATATCTTCTAGTCTGCAGGATTCAAATAAGCCAAAATCTTCAATAATAGGAGAAAAAGTTTGAGACTATTCACCAATACTAAAAGGAAAGTCTGACCCATTATTAAGTAGCTTATAAATGTACATATATATTTAGAAATGAGTGTTTAAATTTGATGTAATTGCCTGAATGAATACTACATTGAAAATGTGATTGGCAATGCTTATAAAATGAAACTTTTTTATAATATCAAATCAAAACATTTTGAAAACAATCATGAATACTATTTGTTTTTTAACCGTAAGAATAGTACAGTGGTTGTAATATGACTTTGGACAATGGCTTGCGGTACATATGTAACATTTATTTCACATCGTTATATAATCTTACAATATACCCTGTAAGACGGGTATCTGTTAGTAAACGTGTTACCGACTTCTAATTCTTTACTTTAGTAACAAGCCATTTATTCAGTGGTTTTCTCGATTTATCCAATTGCAATTAGTATTGCATGCTCTTTCCTTATAAGTTAATATCATTTTAAGTAAATATCAAGAACCGTGAAACTGCTTTAATAACCATCATAAGGCGTTTCAACTATCACTAAATCAAATATTTTTCACTTTAACAGTTACACAGATCAAATGGCTGTCACCGGATCGAAATGTTGTGATAGACGGAAAACACGTCTCCGGTGTTTTAGACGTGCGTACGCTCCGAGATCCTAATGTTGACTTGGAGCCAAGATACGCACTCGGCTCTGTACAGGCGAAAACGCACGTCAACAGACATAAACACAAAACTAATACGGTTGCGTAAACTGACGTTGAGCAACACCGAAAACTGCGTCAGGATCGGGAAGCAACCCTCCGAGCCGTTCGATACCAACCGAGGTTTCAGACAAGGCGACTCCCTTTCGTGTGACCTCTAAACCAACTTCTGGAGAAAATAATTCCAAGTACATAGCTAAACAGAGAAAGTACCACTTTCTATAAGAGTGTACAGCTGCTGACGTATGCTAAGGATATCAAAATCATTGGCTTAAACAAGCGTGCCGTTAGTTTTGCTTTCTTCAGAATGAATAAGGCAGCGAAGCAAATGGGTCTGGTGGTGAACGAGGGCAAGACGAAATATTTCGACTATCTTAGAACCAGTACTAACACCAACAATAATGTCAACCTCGAAATCCAACGACTGAGTAGGCAATCGAGAAGTAAAGTCCACACTTCGSCTCTGAAAGTATTCGACACAGTAACCGCCGTAGGAAGCGGAGGAAGAGGAAGACCTCCACTCCGTTGCAGAGATCCGGTGGAGAAGGACCTGGCTGCACTTGGTGTCTCGAAGTTACGCCAAATTGCTAAAAGAGGATACGATTGGCGTGCTGTTGTTAAGTCGACTATATCCTTGTAAAAGGTGTCTACGCCATTAAGAAGAAGGAGTGTTGAATCATCGCAGGAAGGTAGATTCTTCATATTTATTTCAATAATATTAAGATCCACTGAATTAAACTATGCAACTAACGAGAAAAAACTTTTGGTTATACTGTGGCTATAAACGCAATACATAACTATATATATACGGTGTTAGTGATTTGGAAATACATACCACCGACCATCAAGCTTTATCATTTGCCATTTCTGAAAACTATTTATTAAAGAATTTTCTAAAAAAAAAATATATATAGTTGAATATATCGATTTACGAATTTTTTATTTGAATCAAATTTTAAAATGTTATTTAAAATTAGTAATTTAACGATTAATTTAAAACAGTTTCGAAATTAACCCAAATTATGAAACATCTACAAGGCAGCTCCAAATAAATTACTATTATTAAAAGCAAATCAATAATCAGTGAACTTAAACCTAAAGTACTGAACCGATTTTAGAAAAATGTTTCACACTGTCCAGTTTGAACTTACTTGAAAGATAGGATTGTTAATAACCTTGGGTTGCCATTTCACCTTGACAGCTGACGATTCTCCATTAGCGATGATATCGATGTTCATCTAAAACCATGGTGTCGTATTCGTCATCAGTCATACTTAAAGCTCACCACGTTTCATATTGTCATTCGTAAATATTCCTGCATAGAACTTCCGCTGGTTCGGTATATTTGGTAGATCGTCAACCACGTACCGATTGTTTGATAATACCTTCGTTACCAAATATGGATCTTTGTATGATGGATCAAGCTTAAGAGATGTCCCTTTGGAGGAGGCTCCTAGTCTATTACAACTGAATTTTACTCGTTATACTGTCTCGGACTACGATGTTTGTTTGTTGTCGTTTTTTCCATTTAGTCCTTTCTATGTTTATTCGTTCAGCTGCTGATTTTAGTCGGAAACTTTCATGTTGAATTTTCCTATCGTCGTCGTCATCTGTGCTTGTTTGGATTAATCAATCTGTTGTGACGTCTCGTAGTTTATAGTTGTAAATTAAGCGGTTAGAACCTTCTTGCGGGCTTTGGAAATTTATGCTCTATTGAAGTTGCGGTGGAGCTTAGTCCCATTCTTTATCGGTTTTGATGCTGCATTTGAACGATGCTAAAATTGTCTTATTAACACGTTCGGTTTGAACGTTGGCGCGGGGTGTGCGCACTGCTACTTTGACATGCCTGATGCCATACCTGTCAGTGAAGCTCTGAAACTCTTTCGAGGTGAACGCTATGCCCCTGTCGGAATCTATTTGCCTCAGGCATCCGTAGATTGTCATAAAATCTCGTAGTGTACTTACAACGGACCTTGTTTTCGTATTACGTAATTGTTTTAGTAAAACGTACATTGTGGAAGTACAAACAATGACTATTATGTATATATTCCCATGTTTACTTCGCGTAAAATATTCTAGATGATCAACATGTGTGCATCTAAATGGTATTGATACCACTTCGCTTACGTGGAGCTGTGCTTCCTACTTGTCAGCCGAGGGCTCGTTAATGTAACATTCTGGATACGATGTAATATAGGACTTCACATACGGTGGCATACGAGCAAACCAAAAGTCCGTAGATAATCGTTCGCAAGTCTTGTTCAGAGCAATATGTTCTTCCTTGTCGTGACATGCTTTTACTAAGCGCCATTTTACCACTCTCGGAACCGCTAATCTCTTCTTGTCCTCTAATTTGCGATATAGTCACATATAGTCATCTTTCAGTTGAAGTGCGTTGAATGCTTCTTTGCCGTTTAGAACTTCGATGATTTCGTTTAATGCGCTGTCTTGTCTTTGCATCACCGATACCCAATCGTTGTCAATTTGTTCTACTGGAAAAATTTATTCGGCATTCGTTGTAGGTTCTACTGGTGGGAGCGTTTGACATCTGCTTAACCCTTCACGGTTTATTTGCACCTGTGCGGGGAAACAATAGGGGATTTCCTGGCAAGATTACTGATTGAAAACATCCTATACCGAAATATGCAAGG